GGTATGCTTGAAAATTTTCATAGTACAAAGATAAAACACACAAAACCAAAAGCAGCAGTGAATTAATTGTTGGCTTTCAGAGGATATAATTATGGTGTGAGAAAGGTAGAAATGTGAAAAATGAACAAACCTACAAAAGAAATAAGGCTCAGGAGTTAACAAGAACCCTTGAGCCACTGATAGTGCAACCTTATTAAGCCTCAGCTTCTGGGGCTGTAAAACAGGGAGGATCCTTGTCCACAGGCAGGCCTGGGACACGAACTTAAATGATTATTTTGGTGGTTGCTATTGGTCCGGAGAAGCAGGCTAGATGCCTGAAAGCAAAACTTCCATTCCCCAAAGCAACTTTCAAATGTTAGTGTGCACCAGGGTCACTGGAGAGCTAGCAAAATGCAGAGTCCAAGACCCCACCCCCGGGTGTCAGGCTTAGGAACGTCCATCTTAAATCAGAGTCCAGGTAATTCCCAGGTACAGTAGAAATGCTCTACTTGGCCAAAGGCCAAAGAAACCCAAAGAAGCAGGTCTGCCCTGGAGGAAAATTTGTGGCAGTGCAGAAAGAGAGAGTGCTGGGCACTGTTTGGGACAGTTGCCCATTTATGACTCCAGGTGGACTTTGTCAGCAAGTCCAGACTAGGAAAAACTGGCATGCAACTGATACAATTAGAGTCCCTGGTTTGCAGAAATCATGAATAAATGACACGTCACCTTTGTGCTTTCCTCCAGGAGGGACAGAGTCTGGGTAACTGACTTAGGTCGGAAGGTGGTTCCAGCATGTACAGACTGCATAGCCTTGAGCCCAAGATGACTGGTCCATACCTATAAAAGGGGAACAAGGGCAAGAGTTTAGAAGCAGGCCTTCAATGTTGTGGTGCTTACACGAGGCTCTCAGGAGCTGAGGCCCCAAGCAAGGAGAGAACTCTTTCTCAAAAATAGTATTTATACTCTATTCCAGCTCTATGGAAAATGTAGATAGACATACAGTTCTGCCCTGGACCTCAGTGAGCTCCTGAGGGCAGGGCCCACTTTACCGTCAGCCCCTTGCCTGAGTTAGGCATGCAGCAGCTCTGTTCACTCCTGGGAGGGAACTTGCTGTCCCATTCAGCGTCTTACTGGGAATCTCTCCTTGTCTAAACACATGGCCTGCTTCCCTTTTACCTGAACTTCTTGGATGGTGTGGAAGAGTGCCCTACCACATGACTTACTCTCCCTCCCCAGCCTCCTCCCCTAGAGCCTCAGGCCCTCCACTTTGTAGGAGGTGAAGAAATGTCCAAATCCTACTTGGGGCGAGGGGTCACCTTTTGCAGAGGGAGAGAAAGGGACCAGCTCCAAGCAGCTGTTTTAGGGAAGGAGCCCTGGGGGGGAGGGAGGGCACTGGCTGGCTCAGAGGACCACAGCCTCATGGCCAGGCCAGAGGGATAGCGTTGGGAGCAACTGGCAGGTCGTCGTCCGTTCTTGCCACCAGGAGGCTCCTGGTTGCCTTCTGGGGAAGGGAACAGTGTGCGAAGAGAAAGCTCCTGCAGATGGGTGGCCATCTGCTCGGAGACAGGAGTCCAGGCCATCTGTTCCTTAAAGTCGAGGAGCTGGGTCTCATTTTTCTTGGAGGCCCCCAAGTCCTTAGTGGGGTCTGGTCCTACGGTGTAGTAATGTACTATGGGTGGAGCTGAATTAAGTTGCACTGGAGAGAAGTTGGGGGGAAATCACGCTGTAAGAGTGTCCGGGGGCTTCCCGCGACAGAAGCGTTCTTCTGCAGTCAGACACCCAAAGTCAAGGAGTCACAGGCCGCGCTCTCTCCACAGTCAAGGGGTCACAGGCCACGCTCCCTCCACAGGCTCTATGGGAGGGTCCTTTTCTAGCTCCTGGGGGCTCCAGGCATCCCCTGGCTTCAAATCTCTACCTCTGTCTTCAGGGGCATCTCCCATCCCCTGAGTCTCTGCTTTTCTTTTCTATCTGTTACAAGGACACTCTTATTTGGATTCTCACCTGAAGTATATCTGCAAAGACCCTATTTCTAAAAAGTCATATCCTGAGGTTGTGGGTGGACATGACATTTTAGGGGATACTATTCAGCCCAGTACACACATTCAATAGCAAAAAGTACAGCGAAAAGTGGCAAGGAGATAGTCAGGAGCTGGGAGGCCTTGATTCAGGTACTAGAGGCTCAGTCATCCCAGCCATCCCAGGCCCTGTTAACACCTGTGACCTCCACTGCCAGCTGGGAGTGCGGTCCTGGTTTCCTTTCACAGATGAGAAAACCAAGGCTTGAGTGAACGGCCAAGGTCACACAGCTGCCTAGAGGTGGAACAGGGACACAGGTCCACTTGATACCATCGCTTGGGGGCTTTGCAACCTGGCCAGGCTGGATTGGAGGAACCCTCAGCGCCTGAAGGTCCCGAGATCTTTCTGTTCCAAGGAACCTAATTAACCAAGAGAAAGCAAAAGTGTTGACTTGCCTTGATTCTCACATTGCTTTACTTCCTCATATCACAGATTTTGGAATGTGGCTACTTTCCCAGAATCACTTGAAAAGATGAGGTTAAAGAGAACAAAGATTAATTTAATTATTTATAGAAATTAGCCTGTACTGGGGAATTGAGGCAGGGAGACCCAAGGGGGCCAGTCTTACTCCCCTGCTTCCTATGTGGATTTTACACTGCCTAGGATTGTTACCTGGATGCTGGGATGCCCGGGACTGTCACCTAGTTGTTGGGAGATCTGGGACTGTCACCTGGTTGCTGGGATATCTGAGACTGTCACTTGGTTGCTCAGTTGTCTGGGACTGTCATCAGTTGCCCGGATGTCTGGGACTGCCACTGGTTGCTGGGATGCCTGGGACTGTCACCAGTTCCTGGGTTGCCTAGGACTGTCACCTGGATGCTGGGATGCCTGGGACTGTCACTTGGATGCTGAGATGTCTGGGACTGTCACTTGGATGCCTACTTCTCCTATCCCTGGCCAAGAACCCCAGAGTGGCTCTGGGAAATTTTGCTCAAGGAGCAGAGAGGAGTCAGGGAGTGGGAAGCAGAATTTTTTTGTCGCTGATGTGGCTCTGCAAAATCTGTCCAACCTTGAAGTCCCAGGGCGGGAGAAGGTCTTGCTAGGTCAATTCCAGCCCCTTGAACCACATCCTGCAGAAATCCAAGCATGGGTCCGTCCGTGCTCTCTCGTGCAAGGCCAGAGGAGCAGGCTGGGAGCTCCGCAGGGCGAGGAGGGAAGGGCGGCGCGCAACCCGGGCCCCAGGCCTCGGAACCTGGCACACATGGGGGCCGAACAACGAACCTGCACAGGACACCCACAGACGGGACCCTGCGGCAGGATCGGGAGGATGGGGCGGTGGCTCCCGCACCCACGGCCTGCAGGGTAGGGTGTCCAGGGGGATGGGGCCCGGCCCGCAGCCAGGGGCCACACACAGGCCCGGGCGGGGGGGGGGGATGCTCCGGCCCCAGCGCCCCCAGGCCCCCAGGCCCCCAGGCCGCGCGGCGCCCCTGAGCTCTCGGCTCCCGGGGCGCGGACAGGAGGCTGGCTGGCTTAACAATGGCTCCATCTGGGCGAGGTCTGCGGAGGACGGGGTTCCCTGCGCACCCCAATGTAGGCCGCCGGGTCGCAGGGGCGGGCGCGGCCCCTGGGAGCTCACGACCTTCCGGTGAGCCCCCCGCCCCCCCCCAGCAGTTAGGGTCACCCTCAGGTTCGGGGAGGCGCCCAGGGCCCAGAGAGGCCGAGCAACTCGGCCAAGGTCACACAGCTTCGCCGAAGGAGCGCCGGGTCGCGCGGCTCGGGGTAGGAGCCCCGCTCCCGAAGGTCTCCGGAGACGCCCGCCGCCGGCCTTCGGGGACGCCCGGGAGCCACACGCGAAGGCCGGACGCCGGCTCTCGCCTCAAACAATGCTCGGCGCAAATCTGCGGGAACAAAAGCGAGAGGGAATCCGCCCCAGGTTTTCCGCCTTCCCGGCCCCGCCGGCAGCCGAGGGGCGGGACGGGGCGGTCCGGCGTGATCGGCAGCTCCTCGGAGGCGTGGCCTCAGCGGCGCCGAATCCCATTGGGCACGCGGAACCATCACGGGCCGAGAGGGGGCAGTGCGAGCCAATCAGCGAGGGGGGCGGGCCTGGCCGGCGCGGCTGTCGCGAGAGGCGGCCACCCCGCCCACTTGCGCCTCGTCCCGGCGCCTGTCAGCAGCGAACGCGGCCGCGCTCGGCCCGGATCCGTCCGCGGCGCGGGGAGAGGCCGAAGCGCGAGGCTGCGCGAGTGCCGGCGCAGATCCCTCCGCCGCCGCTGCCGCCGCTCCGCTGCCGCCGCCGCCGTCGCCGCCGCCGTCGCCGTCGCCGCCGCCGTCGTCGCCGCCGCCGCGCCGCGCCCGCCAGTCCCTGCGCGCCCCGCGCCCGCCCGCCGCTCCCGACGCGCCCGCCCGCCGCCCGCGGCCTCCGACCCGGCAACGGCCGGCCGGCCCAGGCGCGGCGGCGGCGGCGGAGGCGGCGGAGGCGGAGGCGGAGGCGGAGGCGGGGGAGGAGGAGCAGCAGCAGCCCCAGCCGCAGGAGGAGGAGGAGGCATGGCCCGGGCGGCTCCGGCGGGGGGCGGCCCGCAGTGACAGACCCTGCGGCGCGGGGGGAGATGGGGGCGGCCGCCTCCCGGGCGACGACGACGACGACGACGAGGAGCGGCCGCCGCCGCCGCCGCGCACCGGCCGCCGCTGGGGACGGGCGCGGGCCAGGAGCCCGCCCGTGAGCGGGGGGCCCGCGGCCGCTCGCCGCCCCCGGCCGCCCCGGCCGCCCCGGGCCCCCCCGGCGCCCCGCGCGCGCCCATCCGCCGGCCCCTGGCGGGGGTCCCGCCCGCGCCGCGCGCCCCCGGCCCCGGCCCCGGCCCCGGCCCCGGCGCGGCCCGCGGCGCCCGCCCGCCCTCGCCCGGCCCCGGCCCGGGCCCCGGCCCGCGCGCCCCCGGCCCCGGCGCGCCCCGGCCCCCCGCGCCCCCCGCCCGCGCCCGCGCCCGCCCGCGCCCCCGGCCCCGGCCGGCGGCCTCCGGCCCCGGGGCGCGGCGCGGCGCGGGCGGCAGCATGGTGGAGAAGCGCTGCCCGCTGCAGAGGGACGGCGTGTACCGCTGGTTCTCGGAGCTGCCGTCGCCGCAGCGCGTGGAGTTCCTGTGCGGCCTGCTGGACCTGTGCATCCCGCTCGAGCTGCGCTTCCTCGGCTCGTGCCTCGAGGACCTGGCCCGCAAGGACTACCACTCGCTGCGCGACTCGGAGATCAAGGCCAACAACCCCGCCGACCTGGGCAGCCTCACCAACCTGACGGACGAGGTGGTGCGCAGCAAGCTGCTGGTGTCGCTGGCGCTGCTGGGCTCGGAGCAGCGCGAGGCGGCGGGCGTGCTGTACCGCACGCTCACGCACATCGACTCCATCATCCACAACTACGGGCTGCAGCTCAACGAGGGCCGCACTGGCGATGAGTTCCTGCTGCTCTTCACCATGGCCTCCAACCACCCGGCCTTCAGCTTCCACCAGAAGCAGGTGCTGCGGCAGGAGCTCACGCAGATCCAGAGCAGCCTGAGCGGCGGCGGCGGGGGCCACGGCGGCGGGGGCCACGGCGGCGGGGGCCACAGCGGCGGCAAGAGCGCGCTGCCCACCTGCCCGGCCTGCCACAAGGTGCGCGCCTCCGGGGGCCGTCGCGGGGCGCTGGGGCACGGGGACGCTCTGCCTGGTCAGATTTCGCCGCCCCCTTGTGCCTTCTTGCCCCCGCCATTCGGGCCCTGGGGCGGCAGAGGAGTTAGCCACCTCGTGCCCGGCTTCTCCAGGTCGCTTTATGAGCAGGAAGGGAAGCCGCTGTCCAGGTGGGGGCGGGAACCTTAGCGGACGGCGGCCTCTGTGGCCTGTGCCCTTTCCTGGGGTGGGGGTCCCTGCCCCCGTGACGGGTGCGAACACACGTTTGGAGCCTGAGATGCGTGGAGTCAGCCCGCCTTTGTGAGAGCAGATCCCGGGGCTGCCCGGGTCCCAGGATGCTGGGCTTCTCAGGAATGTTAGATTCACGGCTCTTGTCTCCAAACTAAACAGGAAGGGCATTGTGGTCATCCACTTGGCCATGTGAACTTTGTCTCAATGTTTCAAAACTACATAAACATCCAGCGATCAGGGCTCAAACTCATTTTTCACAGCCCTCTGGGACCCATTGCCAAGATGGTGCTCCAAGGAAAAGGGTTTGTCTTTCACCCAGTGTGGCGGGTGCTTGGATGACGCTGGGCCTCTAGGGGAAAAGGTTGCAGTCAGGACCAGCAGCTCTGCAGGCTTTTCTCCCACGTCTCAGCTGCTTGCAGTGGACACTTGGCTCCTCTGGTTTGCTGCTGTGGTTTTCAAGCTGTCTCTCAACCCCGGCTTGTGGTTTTGTTTCCTCTAAGGTCTCTAAGATGTGGCTGTGGCACCTACGTTGGTTTTAATCTCTGTCATATCTCTTTTTGGTGATGTTGAGCTCCGAGACTGTGGTTTCTCTTTAAATGTGTGTTCGAGTCCTGCTATGAATCTCATGGTGTGCCCAGAAAAATGGTGTTCTAGCTACAACAGAGGGGAAGTGGTGTCCCAGGAAATGTGCTTGTCTGCAGGGGGCTCAGTCAGCTTTGGGGTGCTAGTGGTACATCACCTGTTTGTGGGATCTCAGTCTCCGATGGCCCGGTCCATGTGCCACCAGCCTCTGTTTAGATGCTGAGCACTCACGGCTGGGGTGCTTTCTCCTGTTCTAGTCAGCTCTTGAAGGGGATTCTTTTGTGTATACAGATTTATACTGTTACAAAAGGGAAAGATGGCCATTATTATTTTGATGGGGCAGAAGCTAGCCCTAGAATGAAAATAGGCTTTATAAGAGAGCCTTTCTGTCTAGTCTGAAATCCCTCTGATGACACGAAAGGCTGGCCTCCCCCTCCCCCCTGCCCACACACTCTGAACCAGCCAGCTGTGTGACCTTGGCCAGAATCCTGCCTCCTCTTGGTGTGTTTGTGGAGCAGAGGGCAGGTTACCTGCCTCCTGGGTGTGTTGGAGCACTATATGAGGTCACGTGTGACATGCCCAGCAGATGTGCAGGGAGTCCTCCGTTCTCTGCCTGGTCTGTCCTCTCTGGGTTTTTATAGAGGAGTGCTGCCTTAGGCAAGGCACGTTGTTAGAGAGTGAAATATTTACATCTCAGAAAGTTCCTGTGTTCTAAATTGATTTTTAAGTAGTTACTTGGAACTGACAGTTTTTTCTCCTTGTCCGTGGGAAATTCGAGAGTTCTGACCCTTAATTATGACATTATGGTAAGTTACCTTAAGGGCTGTTGCTTCCATATTTCATACCAGCCATGGCGTCTAGCTTTCCCCATTCATGTAACTTTTAGGTCTGACGCACCCTTTGCTGCTTGGAGGCGGCTCCTCTGGTGGAATCTAACTTTGAGCGTTTTGCCTTAGCATCTCTGAATCTGACATTTACTGTGATTCTGGAAAGCAGCCCCCTTCAAGTTCTGCTTGCATTTCTTTTGTAAGCTGTTGTATTTTGTTTTTAACTTTTTGAGCTTAGAGGCTTTGTGTTTATCCTTTAGGGATAGAGACTGGAGTTTGGTTTTTTTCTTTGTTAAAAGCGATGGTTCTTACAATGATGTTTTCTGACAAGAGTCATGATTTGCAACAGCATCTCCACACCTTCACTGTTATTTGATAATCCTTCCTCCTTGGAGGACGAGCAGGTGTTTAAGAGTGTGAGGTAAAATACACATTTTCGTGTCCAGAAAGGAAACAGTTGGGAGCAGCAAAGGTGTTGGGTTGTGGTGCACTCAGCAGCTGACAGGTGCCATAGGTATGCTGCTCCTCGGGGTTCCCTGTAGTTAGTGATAAAGGTCTCCTGGGACTCTCACCCTTCCTTTTTAAGTGAAAAGCTGTAGTTTGGAAAAAGTTTAATTTTACTCTTTGTAGTCTTTTATGTAAATGATAATGTGCTATGGGTAAATGCTTGTTTTTTTAAGTTTTTGAGAGTTAATTTTTTAAAAAACATAAAATTCACCCTTTTGAAGCATAGTTTTTAATATATTTAAGTATATTATTAAAAAATTTAGTTTTAAATGTACTGACAGAGTTGTGTAACCATTACCGCTACCTACTTCCAGAACATTTTCATCACTCCCCAAACAAACCCCTGTACCTGTTTGCAGTCACTCTTCATTCCCTGTGCCCAGACCCTGGCAGCCAGTTCTCTGCTTTGTATGTCTGATTGTCCTGGACATTTTATGGAGGTGGAAACACATGGTGTGTGGTCTTTCAAGTCTGGCTTCTTCCACTCAGGGTCACATTCTCAAGTTTATTTCTATTTTAGCATGTATCTGTGCTTCTCTGCTTTTTTAGGGTCATATAGCATTCACGATATGGATGGACCCTGTTTCATTTATCTGTTTGTTGATGGACAATGGGCTTGTTGCATGTGCTTATGTTTAGGCATTTTTTACTCCTGTGGCTAGTAGGCTCTTGTTTTCATCCCTTACATCTGACAGTTACCGAGTCACCTTGGGAATATCATCCATGTGTGGCCATGCTGAGGGACTCCCCTGTGGTGGTAAGAGCCCATGGGGGACACTGGGCACAACGTGGCCCCCCAGGACCATGGCTGATGGTGGCAGAGGGCGTGCTGTTCTGAGAGGGAGGTGCGGTGCCATGGGCTTGGTGCAATGCTGGGGGAGCCAGGGTGGCAGGAAACGGCTCCCACCACGGTGTTTTCGGAATCTCATGACAGGGTCACAACCGGGTAACTCGATGAGGTTGATTGTTTTGAGTGGTGCTGCACCTTTTGAAAGCGCCCGCCGTGGGGATGGTGGTCCTCCATGGGGTGTGCTCCTGTGGCTTCCACCTGGTGCGCTCTAGGGTAAGTGCCATGGGTGGGGGTGGGGTGGCACACAAATCCTGTGAGTGCAGTTGCTAACGAGGCGCCAAGCTGGCTCTGTCGCATTGCTTCCCACAAGCTGTTGAAAATCTTGGAGGTTCAAAGGTGGCATCTCAGGAGTTTGTGCTCTGGTGGCCCCTCCTGGCCTCTCCCCGAAACTCTGCCTGGTGCCCCAAGAGTGATGTAGCAGGCCACAGGAAGGGACTTTGGCCGGGCAGCTCTTGTTCTCGCTGATGGTTGCCCGAGGAGCTGTGATCTCGAGGCGTTGTGGTGGCTCTGCCTTCAGTGCCTATGCTCCGGGCTCCCTGGGCATCAGGGAGCCTGGGAGGACTGGGCGCGTAGACTCAGGCCTGCCCTCTGAGCCCAGTCTGGCTGCCTTGGCTTCCCCTGCTCTGTTTATGACGCTATGGGGGATGATGTCCTAGCCTGGTTTTGGCCAGTTTTTGTAGGCCCACAGACTGCCCTCTTTCTGCTGAGGTCCATGATAGGGTCATTGAGATGAGCTGGGATGCAGGATTATTTGGCGGTGGCAGTGTTGCCCCTCCATGGAATTGTGCCCCTGATCACATCCACCTGGGGCTGCACCGCCCACAGGGCCCTCCATTTCTGCCTTTTGGCCTCCGGCGGCATCCAGGCTGCGAACCGTTGTGTGGGCTAGTGCCCGTTTGCTCTGTCCAACCTTGCTACCGCTAGGGCTCTTGCTCTAGCTGGCGTTGTGCAGTGCAGCTGTGGAAACTGCACATCTCCTGTTAGCTTCTACTAGGGAGAATGATGCGGTGTTCCTTATGTGGTTAGCAGGTGATCACACATAAACGTCCACGTCGGCCTTGTTTCTGCAGTGTTGGGCGTCCACCAGTTCCCTGGGCTTGGCTTCATTTCACCCAGACTTCATTTATCTTTCTTTTGGACTGAGGACATTTGGGATTCATATATTTTTTCCCCGGCAAATCAACAGAGGCGTCTTTTGACCTCAGAAGCAAGCTAGTAGAACATTTCTGTTTGTTCATTTGGTGGCTGCTGACCTCCCAGAGACTGTTAGTAACAAAGAATTCCTATGATGTTTAAGGAAAATAGTTTCTATGTAAGTGTTGTTTTTTTTTTTTTTCAATCTTAGATTGTATTTCAGAAAAAAGGTCCTTTGGATGTGTCTTTTTTTTTTCTTTTTTTTTTTTTCTTTTGAGAAACCACCATTCAGGACACCAGTTCTCTCATGACTTTGAGAACTGTTGCCACAAGCTCTCCAGTGAGTTTAGAGATCATTGAGGGTTTCTGATTTTGGACTCTAGCCCTGACGTTCGGAGTAGTATCAGCAAGCTGGCTCCTCTCCCCTCTCCACAGAGCTTCGTGTGTGCAGAGACCCCCCCACGTTCTAGAGCTGCTTCCTGTCATGGTGGAAAGCCATCATCGAGAGCTTCATGAGATATGTTAATTCTTTTTCTTTTGTTCTTTTTGTTGTTACAGCCAGAGTTTATTCAGGTACTCTTCTATTAAATGGATGGGCATAAAATAGGTTCATTCTTAGGCAGTTTGTTTTGTTCTGAGTTACGAAGCCTGAGGCTATTTAGAGTAAAGACGACTGAATATCTTTCCTGTAAACTGATGCTCTATCGGACACTTGTAATCTGTGATCTGGGCGTAAGGAAGTGGGCCTGGACTTGCCACCGGGCCCACAGGACTGGCGCAGACCTGTGTGTGGCTCTATCTCTGAAACAGCGATGAGCTCTCTGGGCCTTCTGTCATAGGCTGGTCCCTCAGAC